AGCTGTCACCTCCACTGGCCCCTCCACCAATCAGTGAGGAATTAGGCACTTTCTTGTCAAAGGTATCTGAAACCCAAAGCCTGTGTGATATGGCAGTGTGGGGCATTTTGAACAACAGGTTGGGATGTGCATCGGGATGTGGTGACACCATCTGATGGGATGTTATGAAAGATACTTTTAATACTTACCTGCCTTCCCCATCCCCCACCCTCCCCCAATGGCAATGGTTCTCAACATTTTTTGCATCAAGGCCCCTTCAAGAAACACATGACTGCTAAGGATTCTCTTGTCCAAACAGTGTGTCTCCACATATCTATGTATCTGCTGCATTCTGCACTTTATTTCAGGGGCTCTATGGACTTTAGGATATGACCTTTGTTCTAGCCTTTTAGACTCAAAGACTCTGAGGCATTTCTCTGCTGCCCACCTCCTCCTTCTGAAGCCACACCTCCAAAACACCTGCTTCTCAGGATCACACTCTGAAAATTGCTGTTCAGAAAAATGAGTTGGGTCTCAGTGCTCCTATAAGACTTGCAGACCTAACAGGGCCATGCAGAAGTAAAAGGAGCCTCAGAAGCCATGTCTAACCTAGAAACAACATCCATAATAGCAGCAAGAGCAGCTGTCGTTTCTGGGTATTTACTATGTTCCAGACACTGTACTAGGCTCTTCACATGCATTTCCTTATTTAATCTTCCCAAGACCTCCATGATGGGGATACTACCCTGACCCCATTTTGCAGATGAAGAGCTAAGGTACACAGAGGTTAAGTAACTTGCCCAATGCCACACAGCTAGCGAGTGGTAAGGTTCAGACCCAGACCAGTGCCCTGCTGTTAACCAGTATACTTTCTGGCCACCTGGTGACATCACAAGTACCACACTCCCATCTTCTATTTCAGTGTCTTCAGCATTCACTCTAATAAGGGCACATTAGGCTAATAAAGGCATATTAGAGTGGGTATAAATTCTGGACACACAGAGTCTTCTACCCTGGGCCAACCTTCTCTTCAAAATAAACCTGCATGGGAACCAATGCTGAAAGATGGAGAGAGGTCCCAGACAGCCCCAGTGTCTGGATGAATAAGGACAGAAAACTATCTCCCTGTACCCCCACTCCCACCTAAATGGCCATGGGCATCTTTGAGCCAATAACTGCTGCAAAGAATCCTGAGACACCCCCATCCCTCCTCCCCACTCAAGCCATAGCTCTGCAAAAGGTGGGCGCTGGGATAGGGGAGGTGGGACCACAAGCTAAATATCCCATTCTGCCTCCCCTGGAAGTTCACCCTCCTCCCCACTCAAGCCATAGCTCTGCAAAAGGTGGGCACTGGGATAGGGGAGGTGGGACCACAAGCTAAATATCCCATTCTGCCTCCCCTGGAAGTTCACATGTGACAAGTGGCCCACAGGCATACCAAGAGTGAAGGATGAGCCGCTTGCCCTGTGGGATAAGGAGGGAGAGTGAACAGGAGGTGCAGGGCCACCTGCAGGAGACTGAGCGACCTTTCTCGGGGAGGGAGGGTGGGAGGCTGGCTCAGACCGGGAGGGGAGGCAGGAGCAAAGGGAGCCAGGGATCTGTTCAGGCAGTGAGAGAGGGCAGCCCCACTGTATTTCCCAGGCTGCTCTCTGGGATGCAGGCAGGAAGGTTGAGTGAATTACACTGGCCCCACCTCTTGAGGCTCTCTCTGCAGCTGCTGGACTGGACACAAAAGCGTGAGAGACAGATGTGTACCCAACTCTGGTTCCCGTTGCTGAGAGGCTACGTGTGACAGAAGCCAGCGCAGGGGTCCCATGCTGCCATCTGCATTTTCCAGGTAAGCAGGGGTGGAGAGCAAGGTCTGAAAGTGGTGGGCAGAGGAGAAAGTGGGAGGTGGCTGCCCTGGGATGGACTCAGTACAGTCTGGAAGGAATGAAGGAAGAGAGGCAGGGGCTGGGAGCTGGAATAAGCCCTTGGGCCAGGCTTCTGCAAAGGTCAGGGAGCTGGAGGCTGCACTTGGTCCACTCCTCGATGGCAAGTGTAGACGAAGTTCCAGGTAAGGGCTGTGCTCTGACAACCTCTGGGCCAGCACATCTGGAGAATAGAGGGGCCAGCCCCACCATGGCATAGGTGTTCCTCTTCCAAACCAGGTATATGTGTGCAGACTTTGCCAGAAAAAAACCCCTATCCTGGGCCCCTGCCTTCCTTCCCATCTTCACGGTGGTCGAGAAAGAGCCTGCGGCAGCTACAGAAGAAACAAAGCAGGACGTGTTCGCTGGGGTATGCCTTCAGACCGAAGAGGGATTCCGCACCTGAAAAGGCACTCTCCTGACCAGCTCCTGAGAAGGGGTTAGCTAGCAGAGGGCTGCATTCCACCCAGAGGAGGCTCACCTGTGGCCCAGAGGAAAGGAATGTGGCACAGGCTGTGCAGAATGGGCTAGGTGTGCTGCAGGTGGGGTGGGGAGCAGGTAAAGTAACCAATCTGTGAACAGTGCCGCAGGAACATGCACAGTGTGTTGTCGCAGAGAGTAAGAGACCTAAGAAATCTGTTTCATACAGATCAAGCAGCCCTGTGCTGTCTCTGCTGGCAGGCCACACACAGCCCTGATCAAGCATGCAGGTCTGAGGAAGGCATATGAAGCTGGCCAGTGCTGCGTCCCTCTGTTAACTACACACACGCTCACACATCCGCTAAGATCCACTGTGCTGAAAATATGCCAAACCTGGTTTCCTGCCGAAAGGCATGCCAGCCCCTCTCTGACGTGTTATGGGGATAGTGCAGCGAGGTGAGAGGAGTGGTCCCTGGGCTGCAAGGCACAAAGGGACATGAGACACTGACCCCAGTCAGCATGCCAGCCCCTCTCTGACGTGTTATGGGGATAGTGCAGCAAGGTGAGAGGAGTGGTCCCTGGGCTGCAAGGCACAAAGGGACATGAGACACTGACCCCAGTCACGAATGGAACGTGTCTTCCCTCCATCTCTCCATCTTTGGTTTCTGTATCCAGAGTAGAAAGTGAGGATCCTTCCCGCTGCTCCCCTACACACACACACACACACACACACACACACACACAGAGTAACTGGGTTTATGATCAGGCAGGACAGTTTGATGAGATGGGGGCAGGGTAACGGGACACACCAAGTACAAAGGCCGCTCCTCTGATCCCTTCTGGGATGTCAGTGAAGGTGGAAGAGGCAGAGAGGAGTTTTCAGAAGGTAAATACTCAGTGACTAATACTCCTGGCCACACCAGGCAACAGTCTCTGCAGCATGTGTCCTGGCTCTGACAGCTGGGGCCACCGACCTCTCTCTTCTGTGGAGGGCAATCTGGGTCAGTGAGAGCAGGGTGGAGCCCAGCGGCGAGGCCCCGTAGCCACGGTTCCTTGGCCCAGAAAACACAAGGGGCTTTGATGCCTGCAGAAAGCAGTGGCTCTTCCCCCCAGGATGCTGTGGCTGCTCTTGGGCAGGGCCCAGCTGCGGGGCAGGCCTCAGTCTGGAGGCCACAGCTGGGAGCTAGTACAGCTCAGGGCTTAACATAATGGCCTTGAAATTAGAGAGAAGCCCAGAGCTGCTATGTATGAGCTGTGTGGCCTTGGGCGGGTAAATAACCTTGTTAAGCCTCAGTTTCTGGTCTGTAAAATGGAAAGAGTAGTATAATAATAATAGCATATATCTTAAAGGTTGCAGGGAGGAATAAATGAAATCATGTTTGTGAAGTAATCAACATAGTGCCTGCCTCACAGTGTGTGCCCAGAAAAATGGGAACTATTAATACTAGCTCCCTCTGGGATTCTCGAAGGTTCTCTCCAGATCAAAGCAAACCCAGCCTCTGCTCAGCACTTATCCCACCTGAGAGGCCCTCTAGCCTGCCTCTCACTCCAGCAACTCCTGTAAAATGTGTCACCCACACAGACAGTCCTTATTAACCAACACTCAGCAGGCTTTCTCCATGTCTTCAAGCAAAAACAAAATCAGGTTGCAAATAAAACCCAGATGGTTCCCATGTCTCATACCTTGTTGTCAAAACACTAAGTCCATGCTTCTCCAGTCGGGGATGTGCACCCCTGTGGGTATGTGGGGGTAGGCCAGAAGTACAGGATGCTGTGGATAAATATGGCATACCTGGAGAGAATGGTTAAACACTTAAACCAAAGGTAACTTAAACATGATTTGTCTGTTAAAACAAACATGACATTGAATTAAATTCTCATGAGTGCTTAAAATGAAGCAACACTTCACAGACAGTCCAAGCTCTCACGGGCATCCCCTCTCTCCGTGCTTACGTTTACCCTCCCTGGGGGTTAGGGGCCCTTCATTGCAAAAGTCTGTGAAGCTCTGCTTAAGCAGTGAGAGGAGTGGGTATCTTCTTGCCAACACTCCTGGTGTCTTCCTGACTCACTCCCATTCTCCCTGGGGCTGTTCCTTATCTTTGGGGGAGGTGGCCTACACAGCCTGGTGGCTTAGAGGTAGCCCCAGCTGCCACCATCATGGGATGGCAGCCTTGCACTCCTGGACTCCTGGCAGGGAGAGTAGGAGCCAGCCTGGTTTTCGCCTTCCTGACAAGGGGACACCGTAAACGTGCCTGAGGAGGACCAGAGCTTGTTCCCTGTGCACCATCGAGCCTTCTCCATGCTCACAGAGGACCCATTTGGCTAGCAGTAGGGGTTAGAGCAACATGGACAGGGCAGGGTACGACTGGCACCCAGCAAATTTCCCGCCCTGGCTATCCTTGATGCATGGTCTTCTGGGGCTTCTAGCAGGTGGGATCTCTAAAAGGAATAGGATGACTGTGGAATATCCAGCAGGGCCCAGCTCCTCCTTCCCCCATGAGGCTCAACAACAAGGTTAGCATGGATACCAGTTGGAAACAGAGCTGTAGTGAGAACCTCAGTCCCTCTGGTCAGGAAAGTGATTGAGTACATCCTTTGTGATCTCCTCTTCACACTTCCCTTTTTGCAGGTATCCTGAGCCAAGCAAAGGTTCTTCCTAGGAGGAGCAGGCAATAGAAGTGTCTGAACATCATGGCACAGGTGAACTCCCAGGACAGGTGGGGCGAGGTGTCCCCTCTGGGCAGCTTGACTGAGGAGGCTCATGACTCGCAGATACTGAGCATGAACTTAGAGAGTGAGGATGAGGAGGCAGGAGATAAAGGAGACAGTGGTGACCTGGTAGCCGGTCCCAGGGGCAGCTCCCTAGTAACTCACAACACTCCTGACTTGCTGTGGCAGCATTCACCTGGCAAAAAGAAAGAGAAATTCCCTGACTCCTTCAGTGCTGGGCGTGTGGGGCGGAAACTGTTGGATATGCCTGAGAAGGAGGCCAGTTGGGGAAGAGATGAGTCAAAGATCACCCAGACCCAGGACTCTCCCAGAGCAAGCTTGGCTCTGGGTGCCCTTCCCGGTGGCCTCTCTCGCAAGTTGTTAGTTTGTACACAACCTCCTAGGGACTCACTACCCGCGGAAGATGATGGAGACTCGATGGCAAACCAAGACGCAACCTTGGATGTCCCAGCCAGCTTCGCTGGCACAGGAAAGTATCTCTGTGCACAGAAAGGTGTAGACATGTCCCCAGATGACTCCACTCCGGAGTGTTTCCCCACGCCAGGCAGCAGTTGGCACCTCCCCACGCAGGGGACACGCATGCACGCTCAGGGGTCGGCCTCGCCAGCCAGCCTGGCAGCCGCGATGCTGGCGAAAGCGCGGATCGGCAGAAAAGGCCAGAATCAGTCGTGCGCTCCGCAGGGCGCGCAGGCGGAGGCGCGTCCCTACGGGGGCCTGCGGGGCGGGCGGGCCTTCCAGAAGCCCAGCAAGCTGCTGAGCCCCGCGGAGACGCGCGGCGGCGCCAAGCCTCACGCGTGCGAGCTGTGCGGGAAAGCCTACTCCCACCGGGGCACGCTCCAGCAGCACCGGCGCCTGCACACGGGCGAGCGGCCCTACCGGTGCCCCTTCTGCGACAAGGCCTACACCTGGTCCTCCGACCACCGCAAGCACATCCGCACCCACACGGGCGAGAAACCCTACCCGTGCCCGGACTGCGGTAAGGCCTTCGTGCGCTCCTCGGACCTGCGCAAACACCAGCGCAATATGCACAGCAACAACAAGCCCTTCCCGTGCGCCGAGTGCGGCCTGACCTTCAACAAGCCGCTGTCGCTGCTGCGCCACCAGCGCACGCACCTGGGCGCGAAGCCCTTCCGCTGCCCCTCCTGCGACCGGGAGTTCGCGGTGGCCAGCCGCATGGTGGAGCACCAACGCGTGCACTCGGGCGAGCGGCCCTTCCCCTGCCCCACCTGCGGCAAGTGCTTCACCAAATCCTCCAACCTGTCCGAGCACCAGACTCTGCACACCGGCCAGAGGCCCTTCAAGTGCGCCGACTGCGGCGTGGCCTTCGCGCAGCCCTCGCGCCTCGTGCGCCACCAGCGCATCCACACCGGCGAGAGGCCCTTTCCTTGCACGCAGTGTGGACAGGCCTTTGCCCGCTCCTCCACCCTGAAGCGGCACCAACAGATCCACTCCGGGGAGAAGGGCTTCCTCTGCGCCGAGTGCGGCAAGGCCTTCCGCATCTCCTCGGAGCTGGCCCAGCACATCCGGATGCATAACGGGGAGAGGCCCTACCAGTGTGAGGACTGTGGCCAGGCCTTCACCCGGTCCAATCACCTCCAACGACACCGAGCCAAGCACGGCACCTGCAAGAAGGAGCTCATCCCTTCCTCCTCTGATGAGTGAGAGCTCCATTGGCTAACTTTTGGGGGAAGCAAGACACCGTTCCCCTTGGGCACATGGTATTGCCAGCCAGCCTCAATGGTCAGCCTCCCCTTCCAAAGGATCGCTGGCCACAAGGTGATCCATTTGATTCACATATTTGATCTCTTGTATAGAAAGTAAGTGCAAGGATAACACTCAGGTGTGTGGTCGCATGTCAGTCTTCTGAGTCTCAGAGATCATCTGCAGTTGGAAAAGGGTAAGACAAAGTACTGGGACCCAAGTCAAGAACTGAGTTCCTTTTGTTGGGGGATCTCAGTCAATCGGAAATTATTTATCCGCATGTCAGTCTTCTGAGTCTCAGAGATCATCTGCAGTTGGAAAAGGGTAAGACAAAGTACTGAGACCCAAGTCAAGAACTGAGTTCCTTTTGTTGGGGGATCTCAGTCAATCGGAAATTATTTATAGAATTAGATGCCAAGCCCTGTGCAGGGCTCCAGGGATACAGTGAGGAAAAAGACTACCCTGTCCTGCTCTCAAAGCCATATGCAAATAACTGGACAGAAGGCATCAGGGGCTGGACATCTTCACAGAAATGCGCTTTTTGTTTTTTCACATATATAAAAGAATCCCCAGAATTGGTTCCTATGATGGACTCTTCCAAAGCGACAAAGCCTGCCTGGGGTAACTCTAACGCAGCTGACATCGCATCATTTCACTTGCTTGCTGAAATGACTTTACCCTTGCGAAATGGCCTTATTAATCTTGGCTTTGAAGTAGAGAAGTCCTTCATCCCAGAGAGAAGGATTTATGTCTTATGTTTAGGAGCTACTATTCTAAAAGTTCAGAACAGCCTTAGCGTCTGAAAAAGAAGCCCATTTCTCTTTACAGTGGAACCTAGTAGCTCAATCTAACGTGAGTCCCACCCACAAAATTCATATGTGCCTCCTTTCTGGCCACCTTCTTTCCTGTTTGTGCGCTAGAGCTTAAGTTATATGCAATATTTACAGAGGAATCAGCCCATTTACAGAGAGACATACAGAATTTCTCCAGACATGCCTGACCATGGTTCGTGAAATCCTTTGGGTTAGTTTAAATGTGCCTGGATCATTAGCTATGATTTGAAGTACATAAAATAAAACATCTTTTGCCCAAGTGCCAATAAGCTTGTCTGTGCTTCTAAGTCATTAAAACCAGGCATGAAAAGCTACATGACTCACACTTATCCATAATGAGGTTATTCAAAATTTGTATTACTAACAGCCATTCTTCAAAGTATATTGATACGTATAATGATTTTTATGAAGTCAGTAGTTCTAAGCTCTGGACCTCAAGTGTGGGGAATCTATGACTTCAGAGATCCCTTGGTGCACATGGGCAGATGGCACTTCTAATCTTATCAGAATTATATAAAATATTCCACAAGAAGGTATAGTGTTCTCCTTTTGGGAGTATTTTTAGTATACCTAAAATTGCCATCAAAATGAACCAAATCTGAATTTCTCTTGGATTCTACCTAATTTGGACCCAAGATGTGACTGCTAAATAGCATTCTCATGACACATGGGGAGGGGGTAAAGAGAAGTTTTATACACACACACACACACACACACACACAGTCAAGCCTAGTTTGGCAAAGGTAACCTTAGCTAAAGAACTTTGGTTACACGCCTGGAGGGTTCGTGTGTTAACTCCCTCAAATACATCTGCATGTCCAAATGACAGTTAGTCTTAATTCATCCCCATTATTTACCAGTGTTATGACCTTGGGCTTCAGCTTCTGCATCTGCGTTGGCAAAAAAAGGAATGATAATAATAGGTAATAAAGGTTGAGTCATTCTACCAGATGACAGGAACTTTGGCTAAATGCAAGAACATTAAATTGATGGAGAAGTCATAAAAATGAACTTGTGAGCAGGAACAGAGCAAAGGCTAGTATATTTTGGAGGGCGGTAATCAATAATGAAATATTTGAAGACTGAAGAATTATTACTCTTCTTTGTATTCTTTTTTGAAGATGGCTTTACTAATTAAAACATTTGGTTTGGTTCTATAATTTTCTTAAGTAGTTATTCCTAAATCTAATTCATAGAATAGCTGCACAGGAATCACCTGGGCTGTCCGCCACACAACTTGCTGAATTCTAGCCATGAGTATTGATACAGGTGTGCAGCGCAGTGTCTAGGTATGGCTTCCACAGGGGCATGCCTTTGGGGAAAGAGCGAGTGCACTTCTTGTTAATGAGCAGAAAAACTGGATTAGTTTCTGCTGGGTGTCTTTAGCGTTATGTACTATTTTTCTATAAGGGGAACATAAGGAGTAAATATATTGAATTGGCTGAAGTTCCTTAATCCTTCAGACCTATCACATAAACAAGTTACATTTGAAGGAAAATTGTCCCAACCAGTCTTTTCTCACATCAGCTGCAAGGGTCATGCTGATATATAGGTGTGAGGCCGGGGTGGGGGTGGGGGTAGCAATCCCATTACTGTAGTCACAAATCACTGGACCAGACAGCAGTGCACAGGTGTAAGGTAACAATCTGTGGAGTGGACAAGAGAAGCCAAGCAGCCGTGAGGTGCCTGGGAGTCTGTCCAGCCAAAGTGGGCCAGTTAAATCCTCTTTGGAGAACAATCAATGCTCGAAGACAGGTTATTCTGGCTCAGATTGTTGCCCCAAATTATGCTGAGCTACTTGTCTGGTTTTCTGTACACCTCCTGCACATCATGGCAAACAATCTTATTTCCCTATTATATAATTAAATAGAGCAGAGCCTTCTTTGTGACAGAAAGAATTTAAAACTTCTCTCTGGAGTCGGGCGGGCGCGGAGATGCTTCTGGGAGGAACACCGCGATGGCTGCCCAGGGAGAGCCCCAGGTCCAGTTCAAACGTGTATTGGTCGGTGATGGTGGTACTGGAAAAACTGCATTCGTGAAACGTCACTTGACCGGTGAATTTGAGAAGAAGTGTGTAGCCACCCTGGGTGTTGAGGTCCATCCCCTCGTGTTCCATACCAACAGAGGTCCTATTAAGTTCAATGTATGGGATACAGCTGGCCAGGAGAAATTTGGTGGACTGAGAGATGGTTATTACATCCAAGCCCAATGTGCCATTATAATGTTTGATGTAACATCAAGAGTTACTTACAAGAATGTGCCTAACTGGCATAGAGACCTTGTACGAGTATGTGAAAACATCCCCACTGTGTTGTGTGGCAACAAAGTGGATATTAAGGACAGGAAAGTGAAGGCAAAATCTATTGTCTTTCACCGAAAGAAGAATCTGCAGTACTATGACATTTCTGCCAAAAGTAACTACAACTTTGAAAAGCCCTTCCTCTGGCTTGCACGAAAGCTCATTGGAGACCCTAACTTGGAGTTTGTTGCCATGCCTGCTCTTGCCCCACCAGAGGTTGTCATGGACCCAGCTTTGGCAGCACAGTATGAGCATGATTTAGAGGTTGCTCAGACAACTGCTCTTCCGGATGAGGATGATGACCTGTGAGAGAGAAGCTGGAGACCAGCGTCAGAAGTCTAGTTTTATAGGCAGCTGTCCTGTGATGTCAGCGGTGCAGCATGTGTGCCACTTTATTATCTAGCTAAGCAGAACATGTGCTTCATCTGTGGGATGCTGAAGGAGATGAATGGGCTTCGGAGTGAATGTGGCAGTTAAAAAAAATACCTTCATTGTTTGGACCTGCATATTTAGCTGTTTTGGAACGCAGTTGATTTCTTGAGTTTCAAATATAAGACTGCTATAGTCACATCACAACATTCGGTGGTGAAATCTTGTTTGTTACTGTCATTCCCACTCCTTTTTGTTTAGAATCAGAATAAAGTTGTATTTCAAATATCTAAAAAAAAAAAAAAAAAAAAAAACAAAAAAACTTCTCTCTGGACTAATGTTATTTCCACAGTTTAGTTTGCCAAAATTAATTTGGTTATACTCAGTAAAAATGTTCATTTATAAGTTTCCACTTAATAAAAATTCTCCTGATGTATTCACCAGCATCTGCAGTCACCATGACCCATGCTCTTTAGATAATAATGGTAATAGCCAACACTTACATAATGCTCAGTGTGTGCCAGGAACTGTTCTAAGTGTTTTACATATATTAATTATTTAATTTTGAAAGCAAACATATGGTGATTATTATCCCCATTTTTGAAGATAAGGAAATCAAGGGGAAAAGAAGTTAAATAGCCCAAGGTGTTATAGTTAGAGAGCGGCTAGCACAGTAATAATTCGACACTTCGGCATGCTTGCTGTAGAGACTGTGCTCTTAACCACAGTCCAGCTGCCTCTGTATAGTATGGAAGGATACTCTGCAATTGTTGATGATGTGCTTTTTAAAAGTGGATGACCATAAACTCAAGAGAAGATAAAGTTGAAACACAGCACAGCAGAAATCATGGCATGACTCAGGGAAGAAGTTCTGTGAATTTCTTAAGAATGAGTCTAGGAGAGCCTAGGCTGACAGCTGTTAATTATTAATTACTTGGAAAAACTATCAGTTAGAGGCCAGAAAGAAGGGATTTGAGCTAAGGAGTGCTGGTTCTTTGAAGGCCTACCAGTTTTCCACATCACTGACCAAAGAAACATTCTGTGCCCATGCAATACACAGAACAATAAAACAGCAATGGGGCTGAGCCCGTGGCGCACTCGGGAGAGTGCGGCGCTGGGAGCACAGTAGCGCTCCCGCTGCGGGTTCCGATCCTAGATAGGGATGACCGGTGTGCTCACAGCGCTCACTGGCTGAGCGCGGTGTGGCCGGTCTCAAAAAGGACAAAAAACAAACAAACAAACAAACAAAAAAAACAGCAATGAATCTTGGCATTCAATATTTACACAACATTTTATAATCTAAATGCATATATATTGAAAAGTTATATTACCCTGACATGAACACAATAGATCACCCAGGAGGGGTTCCAGCTACACCTTAAAAAATCTTGCTTGGAGGGAAGTTTTATGTAAAGCATTGGTTTAATTGC